TTGGTGAGTGTCCCTCAACACCAACCATTACTGGTCTTCTTGAGGCTGACTTGTTGGTAATATTCTTTTTACACTGGCTCCTCATATGGCCTTGCTTTCCACAGTTCCAACAACTTTCTGGGTAGCAGTCTTTCCTGCCATGGCATCTTCCCTGTGTTGAAGTCTCCAGCATTGAGCTCTCTTGTGCCCAGGTTTGTTACAGTGCCAGCAAAGTCCCTCGAACCTCTCTGAAAGCTGACCTTTTCTGGCCTTGAATCCTGACGACTGTACCAACCTTGTGCTGGACTTAACGTAGGATTCATATTCAAGAGCTCTGGCCATTGCATCCTGCATAGTAGAGGGGTGTGCTTGCTTCACTTGTATTTTCAGTTAATTTCAGTTAATACACTTAATTTCCACAGTCACGCTATAAAAAACGCCATAATTCACAACCAACGTCTCACGTGCTCGACTCAACAATACTCTCTCTCTGTCCGCAGTTCAATTGCTCATTACAATGTTGCCGTCGCTTCTTGGCCGGTCTTATATATAAAAGAATACCGAAATTTAGTAAACGCTAGAGCATTTAGGAAAGGACAGGATCCTTCTAGAAGTTAATGACGTGTTACTAGCGTCACATGACTTCCGCTGTCGTAACAATATCTTAGTATTTTGAGACAGCCAACTAGAATGAAAGTACTGCTGTAGATCACGTGACTTATTGCTTCGAAAAGGTAGAGAAAATTACAATATGCTGATTCACCAGACCAGGGGATGGCAACCCTTCAAAGAAGAAAAGCCATTTTTTTTTTTTTGCTTTTGTCTAAACCAAAACATTTCAAGAGCCACAACATGCCTTAGGTCTAACCGCCGGCCTAACGTTACGTTACCCTTCCAACCGCCTAATGAGGCCTCGGTAGATCCACTTACATTTCACATTTAAAGTCTAATTGGTTGACGATTGTTGTATTGTTAACAAAGGCTTTGGAGTTTGAATGTAAAATGGTAGCGGATGTGAATTGCAACTGTATCCTGTTTCTTTTATTTAAAAAATAAACATCGTTCAAAGAAATAAAACAAATCTGATGTTATCATTCTGTATGTATGTCCGACTGAGTCTTTAATTTTTTTATTCTGACAAATAAGAATTTACCCTTTTATTTTGGGGGAAGTATTTATAAAGAGCCACATGAAATTACGCAAAGAGCCGCGGGTTACAGACGGTGGGATGATATTTTTTATAATATGTTGATTACAGATTATGTGATATTAATTCCAGAAGACAATCACAATATATTGTATATTGGTATGTTAGATTTTATTAAATAACAGTTTTGTTAATACTTTTATATCTCATTAAGTTTCAATCACTGCTTAATAGTTTCGTCACGTGATCCTATTTATTAATTGATTACTTAAGTACTAGCTGGAGTAATGAGTAAAGTACGGAAGTTATGGAAATTCATGATTAATGTATCTCTGCATGGACACAACAAACCTTCATACCACATTTGGTGAATATCCATCAG